CAAATGTAACACTAACACCCACTTTTCACTATTTAAGTTATGAGTCCCATATAATAGGGTGTGAGCATATTGCCATAAACCGGGCAAAATTCTGGACTCCGTGCTATAACTGAAAATTAAAAAAAACCCAGTAATACATTTCCCGACCCGGGAATCGAACCCGAGACCCCTTGCCAGGCAGTCGCACTTGCGACTACTAGGCCAACGAGGCAGATCAATAAAATATTTCATTAAAATGACATAATTGTATTTTGTCTCATTCATAACCTATTTATAGGTAACGTTACCAAATAGAATATTTTAATATTCATAAGGCAGTTGATATAAATATTTTCGAGTTCATAGAATAAGACAGAGTAAGACTGTACAAAAATATGTCGTTTCCAGGTGATGTTCATATACGTGTTGGGAGCTTACCTATCCTGTTTCTACACGGCAAACATCTGTAGTAACTACCTGCTCTCTACACAAAGGAAGTTGAAATTCAAGGTACGTAACTTGGTACCTACAATACTTTTAATTTGAAAAACCTGGAATCTCATTACTTTCACGTGAAAATACCGATTGCAACAAGATACCGTTAATTCATGCCTGATACGTGATTAGAAAAGGTTGAATATTGTTCCAAATGATCTGAATTTGAATTTAAAAGCAATTTCCCCGAAGAATTTTTAATGAAAATAACCTCGCTACATACCTTTGATACCTTTAGTTAATCAACGTTTTAAATAATAGAAATATTTCGAGTTTCTGAGTGAAGTACCTACCTATTTTAATCGATGTTGAAAAACAAGAACAATATTGGAATCTTTCGGTTCAATGAACATGAATGATAGGAATGGAATTGATTATATTTGAACTGTCCAATGACCGGGGTTTTTTATTGTTGTTTAACTACTGGCTTGTGAAAACCGTTGGTAAAGTTATTGAAAATAGAACATTTAAATATTTTATGCATTTTCGGGTTCTCTCGTCTATAAGTCAGGCGTTTACGGCTGGATGACTTTTTAACCCCTGTCGGTGTGACGAGTATGCTATCTAGTTTTTACTGATTTTCGTATTTAACTCGTCGAGTACCGGTTTTGTAGACACAATTATAGAACAATAGGTTGCGGTCACCGGTGACCGCTTGGTGTTTGACAGTTTAATCTCTCAAATATGCAAATCTGGCTAGCTATGCATTTCAGTTTTCTATAGGCACCGATAAAACAACATTCAGAACTCCTTTGTAACTTTACTTATGACATAATTTTCTTTGGTTTTGTTACAACCACCACAATAAGGGTAGTTTCCTAAATTTTATTTTAATTTCCGTCTGGTACGTACATTAGTTTAAAACTTTAGATACGTATTTTTTTGTTTTCTCACAAAATTAAATACTTTCGACGATATATTAATTTGAAATATCGTGTGACGTCACAGCGTCACACATTTTGTAGCACGTTATGACGTAACGGCCTCCCACTCCTAAACTTAGCGCCGTTTTATCTAAGTATTGCAACTTAATACGAGAAAATAAAAAAATACGTGGCTAATATTTTTTCACTATCTAACTGACGGACTTATTAGATTTTTAATTTTGATACCCTGGACACAACCCAATTAGGGCCTGAGAGTTTAAAATGTTTGGCTCAAGAGAATTTCCAAATTGTAAATCATACTAAACCATAATAATAGGTTACATTCTTTACCAACTTTTGCATATATTTTGCAAACCTAGTTCTTTAAAATTATTATCATCTAGAGAGCTTTCTATGATAGATTCTTCCATCTTAATTACAATGTAAGAGAAAAAATATTCCCGAGGACTTTATTTATAACTCCATTCATCTTTCGTAGGAATCCATGCGGGAGTTGTTTTATTTCCTCTCAGTAAATCACGTTAGTGGAAAAATCAAAGCGCGGGTGAAAAAGTTCTTCTGCGTGCAGTGGTAAGTGGTGCGCTTAGTTATAACTTTAATGTTTTAAGTCTTAGTAGATTTGTTTTTGTATTTAACATAACGTAACATCACGCCTTTTATCCCCGAAGGGTAGACAGTGCACATTATGCCACTGTACAATGTAACACCCAATTTTCACTGTTTATGTTATGAATCCCATGTAATAAGGAGTGAGCCTATTGCCATATACCGGACACAATTACAGACTCCGTGCTACTACTGAGAATAAAAAAATACACAGTAATACCTACTTTGTCCGACCCGGGTTTCGAACAAGAGACCCCTTGCCCAGCAGTCGCACTTGCGACCACTCGGCCAACGAGGCAGTTTTTGTATGTATAGTATGAAATTTTTGTATGATATTAAACTTTTGTATGTAGCCAGTTCGTCAAGCTAATCATCTGTTTATTTTTAATATGTCAGCTTTGTATACATAATAAAGTTTATATAAATATAACAATGAAATTGCAATCATAAATTTATCAAAGAATCGCGAAGAACCTAACGGGTTACCGGGGCTCCGGTTCGACGTGCAGGAGAAGGAACGGGGTGGTTTTTAGTCAGTAAGAGTCTGACACTCCCTCCCGCCTCACCCAGGCGGGAGCAGTCATTCGATGATTTTCCCCCCTTAAAAAAATGTATCGAAGAATTACTTTTTTTCTATTTAAACTGCGACTAATATGTACCACGGAGTGGGCGGCAGCACCAATTTTAGGTGTGTTAATTCACTGTGATTTCCAAGTCGTCTGCCAAGGCTGAGGCTTATAAAAGCCCTACCTAAAAGGAAAGTCATGGTGTAACAGGAGACATATTGCCATTGATAATTAGAGTACTTTGATGTAATGATATTTGTAGTTAATTTTCTAATTAACTCATAATTACTGTCTACATAAAAAGGTATTACAACCATGCCGTGTCTACACAAGAAATATTCTCTGACATGTCCACAAATATTCAACAAGACGTACTTTCAATAGAAATGGTCCGGACATTGGGTTTCTGCCCTTTATTCCAGGTACGTGATACATGTATGTGCCTATTACAACCGATTTTTTTTGTACAAACGCTTTGCTGACATTTCCTCAATAGACTTTCAACCATGTCATTTTGTCATAAGGTCGAAAATATATTTAATACAGCTTCGTAGAACGTCTGTCTGTATACATATAAATATTCATGTGCTAGCTAGATTTAACACCACCAACTTGATTACTTCTAAAAATATGTCACATTATACATACCTAGTACCTAAGTCTAGTTTTATTTGCGCTTTCGTTAAACCGAGCTCAGATATGCGGGATTCGGTGAGCACCGAATAGTGGGAATGGCGGTCATAAATCGTCAAACGATAGTGTTCGCCTTGGTCGGCTAATTGCCGACACATTTCTCCGGTTCAATGTATGTTCGAACATGGCCAACATTCGCGAATACCGAACTGAGATCATCGCGGTTTTAAGTCAGTATTTGGCACTCGGCAAATGCGAAAGCCTTGCGGCTCCATTCTCCTTTACGACTTGCTGAGGGCAATAACGTGATGTTTCATTCCATGGTCAGGTAGATTTACCGTCGTAATTTTGGTCCAGTTTCCTTAGCGGTACTTATAGGTCTGAAATTGCAGCCATCTGTTATCGATCCAAAACTTTCTAACTACTTGTAGTAAAACAAATAGGTTCCCTTTTTAGGTTATATACGAAAAGTAATTAGAATTTTCCTCAGAAATCTTTATTGCGATTAAAACGGTAAACAAAAGCGTGTTTGCATTAAGTAAAACATCCAAGACAGATGTAGAGCATTTTAATTGTTCGTAGGTATTAAATCGAGATTTTCTGCAAACTGTGGCGAGTAATACAAGAAAGTTGATACTGCCTGACAATGAGGTGGTACAGCATGCTGGTGACATAGGCCGGGACATGTATATCTTGAAAAACGTAAGTTAACTTTAACGCAATTTTATGTTACAATGCAATGGTTGATATGTAAGTAATACATTTGTGTTAAATGTTATAATTTGCATCCAACAGGGTCACTGTAACTTGTTGAATAATCTAGGTAGGAGGCAGATGACAATCGGACCTGGCACTCATTTCGGGGTCGTGGAAATGCTCTTTGGTTTACCAAAGGTAACATTATAAATTACTACTAATTGTACAGATTTTCCTTATTGATAATTTCTTGTAAACCAGCATTGGATAATTGTGTAGGCCCTATTAATTATATTTTCTACGAAGGATTAATGTGAAATTCCAATGTTAAAAGTTATTAAAACATATTTAATGTACTCTATGAACTCAAAGCAAAACACAATACCCGGTACAGATGAGAATTCTGACAAAAGTATAATTAAAACTGTCTTAATGTTCTAGTTTTGCAGATGAAAAGCGGTCTGCATAAACATGGCGGTAATGAATGTATAATTTGTCCAGGTATATACGGTGGTGACGTCAACAAACTGCATATTACTGCATGTGGAATATACTTCGTTGGTGCAGTGCTGGGGAACGTTCCCGGACATTAGTCACCCCATTATCACGGTGATTCATGCATTTAATATCGCCGTACAACAACAGATGAGCGAACCTTTGTGTGCTTGCGTCTGTGCCTGATGTATTAGCTTCTCTGCATGTGATGTTATGTATGTGTGGGTTACTGTTTGTGTGTTATAAAAGGGCCAAGTTAAATTGATATCTGGTGCCGACATGAGTCAGTGAAATGTTATAAAGTAACATGATACAGATACATTTTAAAAGATACCAGAGATGGTTTTGTAGATCCTGTCAGATAATATACTTTTCTACTAAAAATACAGTTCCATTGATTAAAATATCTGGAAAATTCCTTAGTCAATGATATTATTGGGAAAACCAATGATATTTTAAAAGTTGAAATTAAAATTACACTCACAGCTACACAATTTAGAACTCGTTTACCGTTCTTCGACTCGATTTTCCTCATCGATTACTCGCCCACTCAATTTCCTTTGGCATCTTTTTGTAAACGTTTATTTACGTAGAAGTAGGTACGAATTCTTTAATGTAGGTAAGGTAATATTTAGAAAATTAATTTTGGCGAAGAAATGGCCGCTTGATAAATTACTAAGGCGTTGCTATGTACAAATGTATTAAGGAAATTAAAATATTTCTCGTGGTTTCTAAGTAAGAAGCGTTTGTTCAATTTAGAAATGCTTATCGACAGTTTTATGTAGACTCTGATTGGAGAAGACAATTTAATGAAAGCTTTATTTAGGTGTCTCATTGGCTAATCGGTCGCAAGTGTGACTGCCGGGCAAGGGATCTCGGGTTCGATTGCCAGGTCGGGCAAAGTATTACTGGTTTTTTATTAAATTGTCATTGGTAGCACGGAGTCTGGAATTGTGCCCAGTATACGGCAATAGACTCACCCCCTATTACATGGGACTCATAATATAAAACATAGTGAAAAGTGGGTGTTACATGGTACAGTGGCATTAAGTGCCATAAAGTGCACCTTATCACCGAAAGGGTAGGCACCCTTTCGGTGATAAAAGGCGTGAGGTTACGTTATGTTGTTTTATTTAGTACGTGTTATAAAGTGTGTACAATATCTTGAGAAGACGTCATAATTATATTATTATGTTCTGTGGGTTAGACGCTAGATGACTGAGATAATAAAATACTCAACGTTCATTCCATTTGGTTCAATGTTAGCAAGACCAAGTTAAAATACTTCGTGCCAAACATTGATAATTTTACTTTACAAAACCAGAAAATCAGGCACTTTCGATTAAACTGTCAAACACCAAGCGGTCACCGGTGACCGCAACCTATTGTTCTATAATTGTGTCTACAAAACCGGTACTCGACGAGTTACAGCATTCTCTGTACACAGGCGTTGGCAGATGAAAACGTTAAAAAACTAGCTGTTGCTTTCGAAGATGCTAAGCCACTGATCGGTCGACTGGATGCCAAAACTAATAGGATCGCGGTAAGTAGACCAAGTGTACCTAATAATACCTAATAACAACAAGGCCGATGCCGATTCGGAGTCGCGGAGAGCCTAACGGGTAACCGGGGCTCCGGCTCGACGTGCAGGAGAAAAAACGGGGTGGTTTGTAAGTCAGTAAGAGTCTGACACTCCCCCCCGCCTCAACCTGGCGGGAGCAGTCATTCGGTGATTTTCCCCCCTTAAAAAAAAACAAAAAAAGTGTACCTAATATAAACTATATCAGGCTAAATAATATATCGTGTTCGTCGATTTTTTGTTAAACAAAAATTAAGTTTTCCGAGTAACATTGTATATTGTTAGCGCAGCTAACGGGTATGAGCCTCGATCGTGGCTTGATACTAGCATCAAACTTCCTTGTGCGTACTGCTAGGGACTGGAATTCTTTGCTAGAGTCTGTATTTCTTGAAGGGTGTAACCTGAGTGTGTTCAAGGCCCGAGTAGATAGGTTGCTTAAATGAGACGACGTACTCCATCGTAGACCGCATCATCGCTTACCATCAGGCGAGATAGCGGTCAAACGTCAGCCCAACAAATATAAAAAAAACTCGTCAAAAAACTAAAAATCGCGAGTTACTCACGTGAATATACTGAGAAAAGCTCTACTAGTTTCGAACCACAGAGAGGTTCTTCCTCATGAGCAGCGTGCGCGGTCGCGGCGATGTCGCGCAGCCTACTAACTGCGCGACATCTACATCGCGTGAGTAACCCTCGATTTTTAGTTTATTTTGAATGTCTCACAATAGTTATTATAAAAACAAAAACCTAGTCCACACTTACACTATATTTCTATTAACCAACCCACTATTAAACATGGAGATTATGTAGAGGACACCTTTAGTCCAATGACAGTCACCGGCAGTGGTGATGACATCTAGTTTAGTTATTATAGAACAAAACTTAAGTAATCATTTTATTTATAGCAAGAGATAAAAGAAAGTTTCGTGCTTCTAACAACGAGGGAACAGAGAATTCATTACGTAAATACATTCAACAAGTTAGGAGTTTTGAGGTATGTAAGGCTTTGTGTAAACATTTTATAAGATTAATTAGCTCTATTATTGTCGGAACAATGATGTTTTTGGTACTTGTTAAAACGAAGGTATTTGTAGGAACAAGGTTTTATTTGAGAACAATTCATTATTAACAGGTAAGACGGGGTTTTATATATAATGAATATTAAA